TTAAGTAAAGTAAATCATTGATATAGATATTTAGAGAGTAAAAGTAGCATCGAAACTTTTCTCCTGAATTTCAGATATATTTTTCTCTTTTTTAGAAAAAAAAAGAAAGTTTTACAGTATAAGGGAAAATAAATAAAATTTCAAGCTTGATGTACGACTTTTATAAGAAAAACCCTACTATTAGATGAAACTCTGGACTTAGTCCAAAGAACCTCATAGGAATTCCTGATGGGGGGAAAGGGGGTGATGGTAGGCAAGGAGTGGGAAGAAAACAAACAAAATGAAGACGCAGGGCAAGGAATTTCATTCTTATTCTGTGTATGTGCCTCAATAAATGGCTCCCTTGCCAACTTTAAGTTCCTGTTTACCGAGTGGCTTGAGCAATTTTTCAGTGTCCGCAAAATGACAAACTTATACGATGGTAACAGGATACCATTTTGTCCAAATAATGGGAGAACTGATATTGGTATTATTTGGTGAGATGGCATACATATCCACGCAAATGGAAAAATATACTAGATCATTTTTGTAATACGTGCTTTTTATAGTTTGAGTGCCGTTTTGTAGGTAAATCGAAAAAGTAAATCATTTTCGTTTGGCTATTTCATTAAAACGGAAACAAAACAATAAAAAATTTGCACTATTTTGAACTAAAAACCAATTCCTTTCTTTGAAAAATGGGGAGATTTTTGAACTTACTATTTTGTCAAAATAATGGAAATATGTTGGTATTAATTGATGAGAGTATATATATAAACATGCAGAAGGAAAAATATATCAGAACATTTCCATAATCTATGCAATTCATAGTTTAAATGTTGTTTCATAAATCAGTGAAGTAAATATTTCCTAATGTTTAATCATTATGGTCATTAAAAGAAGGAAAACGAAAATATAAAAACATTGATTAATAATCTTACTCTTACCATAACTTTTTGGAAAAAAAAAACACTTTTTTAGAACTTTTTATTTTGCCAGATTAATGAAAATTTAAAATTTTCTATTTAAATAAATTTTAAATTTTCTATTTTTGCCTAACGTTAGGAACAAGGAACTAAAATTATTACAAAAATCAGAATTTTTGAAAACTTTTAGCATTACCAAAAATCAGCCTTAAAGTCGGCAGTATAGGGGAAAAAATTAATGCGCAGAAAGTTTAATTAATTTAATTGTTTACATTATAATTCTTAATTCGATAAATTATCAGTTTAAATTTTACCAGAATTCAAACTATCATTGAAATCTATGATTTTCAAATAAATATGTATCATAAAAAGATGTATCTTTTTTGCAATGTGAAAAATTTTAGTGAATTTTAATTATCATTTTTAAGTTGAAATACCCTTTCTAAGATAAACGTAAAGAACTATCGTTAACGTGGCTTAATGGAAAATGTGTTATATATTTTTCATCCATACGAGTTTCCTTTTTAAACTATACTATGTATGCATACTGTTTAGATCAAAATAGGCATACTGTTTGTCTACCTATGCATATTGCTTGTCGAAATATGCATACTATTTGTCAAATCTATTCTAATCGTTTTGTGAAACAGTATGTATAACAACATATTGATGGGATGGTGATTGAATATTTTGTTTCATTGTGGAATACATATTTTCTATCTGCAAACATATTTTTAAACTAAATCTAGTAATCTCGTACGTAAAACGTATTTATTAACGTATGCAAATAAATATCAAGGTTAGTTTTATTCCGTAATTTCTTATCTGTCTCTAATTTTTTCCTTTAAATTTCAATTCATTCCTTTTCAGCATTTTCGTATAATATTTTTTTTCTTTTAGTAAATTTCTTTACTATCTTAAAATATTTTGAAACAACGCGTAATCTTGTACTATCACTATTAATGTTTGGGCAGAAATTTTAGTTAATATTTTATATCCTTCAAAGACGAATTCAGTACATTATTTGGATTATTCACCACACCTGTTTAAAACTTTAACATTAAATAGTAAAAACCTACGATAATAGTAATCAATTTCTTAGGGAAGGGGGGGGGGTGTAACATAAAAAGCTTCAGCAAATCTTTTTGTGTTATTTCATAATCTAAAATCTCCTTCTTAATTTATTATTTAAAACAAAACACTTTCTCACTCTTTATTATTCATATCCTCCTTTTTAATCTAATTGAAGTATGCATAAATTATTATTTTAAGTCTTCCCTTAAACCGAACTGTGAGAAGCACATTTTTCCTCCCACGACCTATTTAATGGTCAAATTGTAATAACTCTGGTATCCCTTCTTCCCTAATACATGACATATTACGGGACTATTTTGCAAGATTTTCCATAATTTTTATTCGGGAGCACTTCGATTTTGCTTCACTTGGATATTCTTTCTCAAATTATAATTTGCTCTTTTTAAATCATGTACCAATCTGTTCTGCATACTGATATATATATATATATTTATATATAGCTCTATGAATGTTGATAATTAGTCTGCGATTCTCTCAAAAACAACGTAATAAATATTTTGCGAATTAGATTCCATGTTTTTTTAATGCTGATTGTAATTGTCGTTAAAAAATGAAGACGGAATACAATATTACACAATTTGTAGAATTCTGGAGGGTCTATCATTCATTAAACTTCACATGATTTCAAACACTATTGTGTAAGAAACACGAAAATTACTTACTGTTTTATGTTTTATTTAACTTAAAAAATATTAGAATTTTTTTAACTACACGAGTTCTTTCTACGTTTACTAAAGAGGAAATCTTTACTACTACGGTTTTGATGAATAACTTGATTAAAACTCTGTTTTTTATACTGAAAAATAATTAAGTAAAATGATCCAAACACCTTACTTCACTGTCAAAGGTTCAAATAATCCAAAGACACAATATATTCGCCATATATCACCCCTCGTGAAGTCACTACCATGAAATAGTATTTTTGAAAACTTACCTTTCGACAAAGTCTAAATTTAATAGACTTACAAATTTACTTTCTCATTAAACTTGAGATCAGATATCTTATTATTAAAGCAGTCTTAAATAAGTCACTCGGCAGTTGAAAGAGGAAAAAAAATAAATAAAGATTAGCGTTTCCGAGGAAAATTACTCCTTCTTCTAACTCATTCTAATCACGTAATAAGTATTCAACATTCAACAGCACTGAACTCAATTATAGAGAGTATCTCATGTTAGAATCATTCCTCGCTGCCCTAGTAATGACAATGATGTTGAAGAGCAGCACAAAGAAGATGCCCTAATCCCCCATCCAGCGCATCATTCTTCCGGAAACGATGGAAAAGCCCTGCGACAACGTTCTCAGCCTTCAGTCACCGATCCACCAAAACTTGATTGCCAAAGAAAGCAAATTTTTCAAAGCAAAATGGGTAAACTTTTAGAGTCCATCATTTTCTCATTGCGCGATTGCAGTTAACTGAAAGTAGGTTTCAATTGCCAAAGTAATCTTGCTTAATTTTGAGACAAACAAACTTTTGTAAATGAAACTCCGGGGGAAACTAAATCAATAAAAGCGTAATGGATCATTCCAAAGCTTAATTATCATTTGCTTATGGAGTAGCACATTTGAACTATTAGCTTTGTTACATACGTTTTATGTGATCATGGAAACTTAATTAAGGCGTATGCATGTAGTTTTAAAATGAAATACGTTTAATAAGTTTAAAACTTTTCACATATATCAATATGTGAAAAGTTTTTATTATATAATAACTATATAATAAATATATCAAACGCAATAAATGTTAGAAATTATTCACTTTAAGATTCAGCGTGCTGAAGTTGATTAATTATTGATTAATTGGTGAATTAATTATTATTGTATAAAGTACAAAAGTGCAAAATGGATGTTTTTCACCTTTAAAGCATGTATATAAACTTTCATGACATTTGAAATGTCGTTGGTTGTAAAATTTTAAATATACATAATTATACATCTTATATATATCAAAAACAATAAATGTTAGTAATCTTTCATTCTATACTTTTAATGTCGAAGTTATTATCATTAACATTTTTTGAAACAAACCATGAAAAAAGAAATTTGAGCATAAATATGTGTTACGAAATGTAACATTGTCTATCACAGCACTTTATCTTTAGTTCTTAATGAAGTTTTTCTTTTAAACTGAAAAATGCAGTTCTCAATACAGTACTCAATCATAACTGAACCAAATGATGCTTAAATACGGAAGTATTAGCATGCATTTTATTGCTAGGTAATTTAAATGAGCAACTAAATAAATTAGCGTTTCATACACGCCACACATGTTTTAAATTTTACTACATCATATACGTTTTAGGAGAAGAAAGCTATATAAAAATATGTACCTGTTTTTCATATAATCCATTACTTTGTTAAAGTCACACGATTTTTTCAAGCATTTTTCATCTAATCTGATAGTTGTCTACGTTTTGAGTATCTTTTTTATTTTATTATACATAAGTATATGGCCAATTCATAATGGAATTTCAAGGATTCAATGAGTTATAATGAATTATTTTACCAAATTTTATCACATATTATAAAACTATATCTAATTGTTCATTTCCCTAAAATCATTACCAAAGCCTTTCGGTAAAAAAATATTGTTATTTTCGGTGTTAACATTGAGCCAGAAATACGGTAAATTTTACTATATTCTGGTAGTGTTAACTTATATATTTTTCTCATTTTATTAAATAGTGAGGTATTGCAAAGTGTTTGGCTAACATTAACCGTAACGCTGTCTTTGTTTTCCAACCTTTAGTTACTATGGAATTAGTAAGGAAATATCCATGCATATATTGGGAAGTTCATGGTATTGACTTTGCATTAGAGTTACGAGAAACCATAGCTCTATGAAAACTCTATTTTTCTTTAGTGAACACTTACGGTTTTTTAGTCTATGTTAATATAGTGGAGTAGTTAGAATCGTTCGTTTTTAACAATGGAACTTTTGAATATATTGCGATTTCTTTTTTTCAATAAAAAAGCTAAGGAAATATGTTTCCAGTACTTACCATATAAGCGAATGGTGCCTTCAGTTTCACCTAAAGAATTTTTAGCTACACACGTGTAGGGCCCAAAGTCTTCTGGCTTAAGATTTCGGATCGTCAGTTTCATTTGTACTTTGTAAAGAGCAGTGTTTAAAATGACGGTATTATACTTTTCATTTGTCAGTACCATTGTTCCTCCTTCCCGATTCCAATATGTTACTGATTGAGGATATGATTCAAGATTGCAATCTAAAGTAACATCTGTGCCGATCGGTGCACCAACTAGTTGATTGGGAATCCAAATCATCGGAGGAACTGAAAAGGTTAATTATCAACATATTTATCATGAATTTACAGACAACTTAATTTGGGAAGTCAATTAAAATTTTATTATAATACTCTTAGGAACTCAAATTTACATATCCTTTACGTTATCACTCATTATTTCTATGAACTTTTTTTGGTTTCGGTCAATACGCAAAGTAGTGAATTATCTCATGAAGGGCTCTAAGCTGGGTGTATTCTTTAGCTAAAAACACTATCAACAAATATTCTCACTACCTGCTGATTGGGGCTTAACTCCCCGCTCTGACACTTGGCATTTTTTCCATTCCTTTGATACATCCGAAGTTTCTGTTTCATATACATACCAATTGGTGAACTTGAATTTTATTTTAGTTTATGACCGCCGTTGAACAGTCAACCCAATTTTTGGGTTTACGACTACTAATGTTCAACGCCGTAGCCTTGTAATTTTGAACCAATCCAGAAGACAAGGAAACTCCTGGATCGGTACCCCCAGAAGTATTGATTTGTTATGGGAACATGGAGGACTTTGAGACTCGACAGATTTGACGTGGATCAGTCACAATTTACTACACGGGGAGTCTTCGACCGGCGGGGACCGAACATACGAACTCTTGTACATGGGCCCGGCACCCCACTGACCAGGCTATCCCGGCCTAGTAGCGACAATTTAATTTTACATAGATAAACTAGCAGCGTTACATTACAGACTCAAAGGATGGACTTCGACAATAACAGTACAATATAAAATAGCTAGTCATGTCACAGATATTTATTTATTTATTTATTTTTTTTGCATTTAACATAAATGGCCATCACGGGTAGCTGAAAAGCTCCGGACTCACTGTCTGTCCCCGGGGACAGGGAGCAGGGTCAGTGGTGTGGCGTGCGTTGTGATCAGTCACGTTGGCTGCTATTGTGAGCCAGTCCGTGGTTGATTGTGTGATACGTATTATAGAAACAGCAGCATAACTCAGCAGCTCAGCTCGTCACCACCAGATCCTCTGGATCACTGCTGATCCCGTAGATAAATACTTAAGCTGCATTCGACTGTTCAGACATTCTACTGTGTTCTGATTGCCTCACATATTCCACTGTTCATTTCACTGATTCGATGAAACACAACTAAACTTTCTCATGCCAAGTCAGAAAAATGTACTTTAAAGCAATGGTGACATTACACAATGCTGCCAAGCTGCTTGAAATTCACAACGGTTTTTTTTCTATTTTCTTTTTTTTTTATGATAAAAATATTATATGAATCAAGCAGATAGGATACATAAAAAGTGTTGATGATGTTAAAGCATAAATTACGTTTATCGAGTAGTAATGTGAGTTTAGTTAGTGTTAGATCTTGATTTTAGAGTTAATTCCACTAAATGTATTTTACTAAATGAAAATTAAAATATATATATATATATAGCCAGAACAACAAATATTTTGATAAAATATACTTTTTTAAGATGCTATATGTATTTTTATATCTTTAAATAGTTTTATAGTAAAGTTCGGAATGCTAATAGTCAATATAAAATGTTGTTGCGAGAAAACCAAACCATCTCAAATTTGTATGAAAAGTATTTTATAGGAAAATATGCATAATACCTTGGAAATAACTGATACACAGAAAATCAAATACATATTTTTGGAACAGGGTTTTTTTTGTTTAAAATTTTCTTTCCCTAGGTTTATCTTTCAATTGATTGATTATTTTTTTACCTTAGAATAGTTAAATATTCTATTATTTATCGAAATATGAGGTAATTTAAATGTATCTATAAAATAGCAATTATTTTTCCAAAAATAGCAAAACGTGCCTATTTATTATCAAGTTTACTGCCCTATTAGTAAAAGAATGATATCAATTTATAACCATGACACCAATTCACTACCAAATTTATTGCATTCATCTAAAAATTAAAATTATTTTAGTACACTGAAATAAAAAAGAAACGTTAATTTGTCTGTCTTTTGAGAGGGACGATTCATTTTTTACTCTATTATAAATAATACTGATATAGAACAACAAATACAAAATCAAAATAAAGTAAAAATTATCGAACAAATTCTTCAATAAAACAAGTCTGCAAGTCTGGCAATTTGAGTTATAACCATACAATGTTTGTTAAGTGCAAAATTTGCCATATTCAAATATGTGCTTATCAGTGGTACATATTTACATAAATATTTTACTTGATATTTTATTCCTATCTAAAACATTTATCTTAACAAGAAAAGTATGAAAAAAAATGCAAAATTCAAACATTTCAAACCGAATGATTACATTTGTCTTACTTTGTGGATTATACAATGTATATTGAATCTATTTCGTCTAGAGTATACTATAAAACAATATTTAATTGTTAACTCTATTAAATTAATTGTATTACGTTTTTCAACTTATATTATAGGTTGAAATAATTTTCTGTATATATTCTATTTTTTATTTTGGTATAAATTTAACCTCACGAAAAAAAGAATTATTTTAAAGCTTCTTTTCTTACAATAACAAATTTAATTTTTACGACATCGTTCGGATTAATTTTTTAAAGTAAAGGAAATTGTTTGTTTTGCTTATCAGAGAATCTTAACGATGGCAATAAAAACGAATTAGGTTTAAATGTGCTATAAATTTTAAGCAAATCTTTCTTTCAGCTTCCAATTGAGTGTATAAAAAATGGTCCTAAAATGATATTTTCTAAAGAACAAAAGAGTATTAAGTGTAACTATCGTGAAACAATGCTTAATTTTTTACCTTGTTACTGTAAATTTTATAGACATAGAAAACCTAATCTAAAAAGTTTTAAAGAAGAATATTTTATTAATACTCTCCTTCGTTAAAATTTCGATATGACAAAAACATAAATACTTCGTTACGATAATGACATTTTTTATACAATTTTATGCCTTTTATATCAACACAGCACTTATGTAGGGGATTTGAATGAAAAACGCATTAAATATATTTATAAATTACTTAAAAAAGCAGGCAATTGAAATGAGCCAAATAATTAAATTAATAAATTAAATTATAATAATAAATTAAATAATTAATTAAGACAATAAAATCTACTCTTATTATACCGAAAATGGGAAAATATTCAAAATATCTCAAAATTCAAACTTACAAAAATATGAAATTTATTAAGATTAAAAATTATAATTATTAAGATTAATATTCTAAGATTAAAAATATTACAAAATATCATGTAATTTTTTGGTATTACTCTTATGTTTTTTTACTGTCAGGAAAACTGCTGTCATTCTGCAATAACAAAATTCTGTTAAAATTCCCGCATTCCATGGTACTAGCATTTCTGGTTAAAAAAAACATAACCTGGTTAATAAAACTAAACAAAAAACGATATTTAAACCATTCATTTGGCCATAAATCCTTTCATAGTGCAACAGTATATATATATATATATATATATATAAATATATATA